TCTAAATGGAAGGTTTCAAAGGTTATAGCTAAGGCAGCTTGTTGATCGATCTGGTAGTGTGCGGAAATTGAGTGCAGTTAATTGAAAAGCGGATTTTGGTTTCAAAAATCTGATAGCCTCTGAGTAGTTGCCCTTTTTGTTGAACGTTGAGTGATATCCGATGGATCTCACAACCAGGAGGCACCAGGAATTATTTTGAATTGACAAGAAGGACTGGACAGATGGGAAAGATGGGTTTCCAAATGGGTACCTAAGACTTTAGGGAACGGCATACTTCGCGATAGCTCATACCAACGAAGCGGTTTTATTTAGGAACCCTAACCGGGGCCTTTGACTTAAAAGTCTGACATCTGTGGCGCCGTCGCGACATCCGGCTGTCTGTGAAGCTTCGAGTATATGCTGCAGCAGTTCGTCCACACTGCTATACGATACAGAGACTTGGTCATTGCGGGAAGAAGATAAAAATAGATTGTCGATGTTCGTACACCGCTGTCTACGTCGTCTTGCACGAGTCTGGTGGGGTAACGAGACGAGGAATGCTGAGGTTAATCGTAGAGTTTTAGGCATTCGCGGTCGTCCACTGGAGCAAGTGATCGACTTCCATAAATTACGTTGATCGGGGCATGTTTTACGCATGCCACCAAATAAGTCGCCACGGCGAGTGATGTTTGCCGAGGCAGGTGGCGGTCGGAAAAGGGTTAAGTGTGGTCAAACGAAGATCTGGCATGAGGGTATGTGAATCCTAATTAGGAGGCTAGGTCACATAGGAACCGTTAGCCTCTCTGACTGGGGACCTCAGGATGATGGTCACCGATGGTTAGATACACTGAGTGATATGCCTGTGTGTCGCAACCAGTGGAGCTCGTGCATCCACTCGTTATTCCCCTAACACCATTCTATATGAAGTCTCCATCTTTCGCTTGAGTTTACTTTGAACATTCCTATCTTCATTCTGCTCTTTTGTCCAAACGGGGCACCAAAAGACAGCAACCAAAGCCGGCGCACGAAAGTGCATTAGTGGTTGTAAAAACTGAACTGAACTGATATCTAATCACACGAGATCCATGGTTGGGACGGATCTCATTGAAAAATTTGGGCGTCGTGCTCATGATTATTGAGGAAAAGTTAGCTTGTCTTAGCCACGACGAGTGAAAACCAAAACAAAAGGCGTTGGTGACAACGTTTTGACCCTCTTGGAAGACCTTTTTCAAGTCGTTTAATCGGTTAATCTCACGTTACAAGCAATTTTAAGGCGATCAGGTGATGACATCGTATAGACACTCGAATGTGATTCGAACATGCGTGTGTGTGTGTGTGTGTGTGTGTGTGTGTGTGTGTGTGTGTGTTGGTGATCGTTCAACAGGTGCTTGGGGCGAGTGAACTTGGTTTGATCTTTAGGTCAAAACGCGTGAATTTGGTCACTTGGCAATTGGGGTGAGGACGAGACTATTTTGTATGCACAAGTGTTAATTGTTGCCATAACTGAGGGATGACTGCCCCATCGGATCGATTGATTGCCGTAGGTTCAGGGTTGATCAGGAGCGCTTCAGCTACTGATCGGTTGGACAAAATAAAATATATGAATGACTAAATTTGTTTTCATTTCTTATTATGAAAATGAAATTATTCGCAGTAAAAGGATTAAACTACCTAATTTTGAGATATACTGTAAAGAGTAACATGGGGGGGGGGGGGGNGTTTATTGGTTCTTGTTTTGGAGGTGGGGAAAATGGTGTGACGTTTCACAGCTTTTCTCTTCTGGAGACAAGAGAAGTACTGGAAGCAAAAACTTGATAAAAGTGGCTGATCATTGTACCAATTGAATTGCAAATTTTAAAGTGAACCTCTTCAGAAATTGCTGATGTTTCTTGGACAGTGTCATTAATCTTCGACTATCGTGTTATCAGAAAGTGACACATGGCCCTTACAGCGATGGTTCCTTAGAACAAAGACTGCATTGAAACAGTTATCTTCTATGGGCCCCTAGTGGATAGTAATCAGATGTGTATCGATCACCCAAGGAAGAAACGTAACAAAGGTTGGTTCCAAAGATCATAATTCATAATAGAGCGTCGCCCAGAAGATGACACCTAAGTGTACAACGTGTTCTGTCAAAGTAAAAAAGCATATCAAGTGGATGTAACGTTTCCATTACTTCCTTGCCCGTATTATGCTGATTTCATAAACAGTTTGTCACTCCGTTTTAATCCTATTTTTTACAGATAATCTATCTAACATTTTCAATAATCTTTTATCAGCGTTATCCATGGTAACAAGCGTTTGCAGATGGCAAATTACTAGTTTGGGGATACCTTTCTGAGTGTATTGATGCTAAGGATTTCAGTTTAAACTTTCTTGGTTAGGATCAACCCGTTAAGTAGTGCGCACTGGTGATGAGTCCCTTTGAAGGATGAACCCACTGCCTTTTACTGTTTGTCAATTATCCCAAACATTTTTCCAGCAAAAATAAGCCTTTTAGATTTACTATTGTGGTTATGAAAATAAATTGTCAAAATACCCAAGGATAAGGACTATTGCGATAATGCCCAACTTAACGTTCCCAACCAGCCAACTACGAAGCTATTTTTGTAAAACTTTATTTTATCGAATCCTGCCAACATGGTCTCTGTGTTAGCTTGACAACACTTCAGTGGTCACTTTCAAGAGATATACCTAGATTTTGCCTTAATTACCAAACGGCCATTCTTGTAGCTTCCAATTCGAACGGGGTTGCATACTGCTCAGTCAACGCAAAACATGGAGCAGAACAAAGAATGCCTAATCAATGTCAGTCGGTGTAAATTCTCCCTGGTCGTCTCTGGATTGACAAAAATGCTACAAAGCATAGATTGTATGGTAAGTACTTTTACTTAACACTCGAATACCTTGTTTAAAGCAAGTTTATGGTCCGGATGCTGAAAGGAACTTTTGTGACTCCCTACTGATAGTTTTGGAGACCCTCGAGAAGTGTCTTACCTGCGTAAGATTTATCTTTAGCTTGAATTTCATGCCTTTAGCAAACACGTGAGACATCTCGACTGGATGAAACAATCATAGTGAAAAACCTTCTGCAAGAGCTTTTCCGTGTTCGGAATCTTGTATTAAATGTATGTCTTGATCGCCATAAAATGACTTTTACGATCGTGTAGTTCATGAATCTAACCAGCGACAATTCCAAAATGTACAATCAATTATTGACTCTGGTTTCTCAAGTACTCTACGCCCTCAGCACGCAATACTTCAATGCTGTGTCGAATAGGATCACAAATTGGTAAGTTTATTGACGTAAATATTTTTCATTATTTGTCTATTCTCTTTTTTTTGTCCGCATTAAATGTAAAGTTTGAAAATCCACCAGGTCATCTTTTTTGTTTGGTTGGCGTTCCCCGCCCATTCTCCAAGTGGAGCTCCCACTTTCTCTTTATTATTATTTTTCTATTTGTATCTCTGGAACTGATTACAAACCCTCTCAATGTTTTTTCTTCTCAGTTTGGCTTTAGCTGCTCAAGATGAAAGTAGCGGAGATCCTGCTAATGAACTGGAATTGATTCAACATCTCAATTTGGATATGCGGAAACTATGTCGCTTGATATTTGGTAACTTTGTCCTCATTTCAACTGTATTAAATCCTGTATTTATCGTTAGAGATTTGCAATCGATTTCGTTCCTTGAAGAAATCTACTTGGCTCCATTTGGCAGTATACCTAGAACGAGTAAGTCAGTCGGTCCATTGACCTTTCTGTAGTTCATTGAGAAAATTCAGTCTTTTATCTTCCAGGAAGGTTTTATCTAGTTACCGGAACACCTGAAAAAATCTCATTACGCATTTCTCTGTCAATATAAAGTATAGCAATGAATTCCGGGACACAGATGTAGTTGATTATGCAATATCCCATCATTGTCTGTATTGCGGTCAGCGAATAGATGCATAAACACATACATGAAACAAAAAAACGATTGTGCTTGTGCACCAGAGGTAAATTAGAACGACCCCGGAAAACTGATATTCCGATTTTTGCATTTTAATGCATGATCATTTCCGTCTCAGAATGGCTAAACTTTATAAGAGTACAAGTTGTTTCAAATACCTTTGGCCTAGTATTGGATTATCGTTATGCTGTTGAATAGGTCGAGTCATTCCGTCCGTAAAAGTATGATAAACGAAATTGGATTTATTATTTCTGTGGTTTGAAAGATGATGCAAAACAGTCCAATTCCACGAGTGATGAACCTGGATTAAAGTTTAAACTGTAAACTCGGGTTGTCGAGGCGACATTGATTGGCGGCATTGCTTTTCTGTCCGTAAAATTGCATTTAGTTTTAACTTCTCTCTCTGTGACGGTGCGAAAGTTATATGGAACTACACTGACCAGATGACGCACTCAACCTTTCATGTATATACAAAATTGATTGCATCAATGTGGAGTAAAAACTTGTAAGTTTCATTTTTTCCTCAGCCTCATCAACGTTGTTGCCTATTGCGCGTATGTGGGGTCAATAAAAGGACAGCTGATTTTATTTTGATTCCTTACAATTTTCCCAACACGCCACCTTTAAATTTCTTTTATGGTGCAACAGGCAATCTGGAACTGGTTGGAAAACTATCCTCAAGAGTTTGATGAACTTCAGAAGAAACCGAATGACGAATTAGCCGGTAAGAAAATTAGATCTGAATTTATTTTTGTTGCCAAACCTACCTGGTAAATTATATTGCGAATCGCAGGGCTGCGTTCACTGCTATTTTTTAACAGTGGTTAATGTGGTGTCTCTCAAGTCCCCACTGGAACCTGTCCGAAATTAATTTTCTATGATTTCCTGTCCCCCAGAAACAGAAAACATCCTAGGGTAAAAATTCAGTTCCCTAGGAGGAGGTCAACATCATTATACAAATAAAGCAAAGTATTTCCGATCAAAATTTATAACAAGTTTGAAGAAGGTTGTGAATGTGGAACTACTGTGTTGCACTCCACTGGAGACGGCCTAGAATAGCAAAAGCTGGTTGTTGGTCCTTACCGGCCCTAAGGTACGGTGGTACAGGTGTTTCAGGATGTACGTATTCCATTCCTCAATCGGTAGTTCCACAAATAAACTTGAAGGTTAATAACACAATGATCGTTTGTCTCCGTAAAGTGTAACGGTGCTTAAGTAGCTTTTGGAATAAATATTTTATAGACACGTCTACGAGGGACGTTTCAACCCTCACCTTTCAACTCCTCACACAAGTTGTGGTTCATTAAGTAAAGACAGAAAAACAACCGCATCTGTAAGATTTTAGTTGATGATCTAGGATCGGTGTAATGAGCACTTGAGCCGTTTCTATGGGATGTAAGCTAACCAGTTCGATGACTGGATCAACCGTATGGAGTTTTGACTACCAAATCCTGTCGGAAATTGGTTGGGAAATGACTGAGTAGTTAAAGTTTTACACTTATGTAGCGTTGACCATTTTATCCCTCAATTTTTGTTCTGCAAAAGTAGTCATGATTAAGTTTACGGTTCTTTGGGTTGTTATTTAGTAAAACAACCAGATGAACCATTCCGTTACGTCATTAAAACGAACAGAAGTAGCTATTTTAAATTACTACTTGAGTAAATGGTGTATAAGACTATCGCGCCTACCCCGAAGAACATGTTTGGTTTCTTGATAGAAATGCTATCCAACTCCCTGTTTTTTTCGTGTTCCCATCGGCGTTTTATTGATTGCAATCAATTCCTGAAGACTGTGCATTTTACGCACATGAACTGAAAATAAAGCCAATAATATCGTCAGTATGATTACTATCCTATAACATCAAACGTAACTTTACAGAGACTCTTTTTCGTCTTTCACTAAATTTCAAGATCTCGAGTCTGTCTTCCTTTGTCAATGTGTTACAGAATTTCTGCGTACCTTGCACACATTCATGCCCCCCCCCCCCAATCCACATCAATTTTAGAGTATTGCGAACGACTGTTCTTCTTGTTTTCCTCACTGTGCGCTGAGAGCGGTCGGAAAAAGCTGCTAGTTTGGCCGTTACAAATTATGCTGTTGGTTCTTTGCCCAAAAATATTAGAAGAAATTATCAATGCGGAAAATGGAGCTCCTTTGTCTCCGGAGCATCAGAAGAAAAAACAATTTGTGGATGAGGTGAGTCATATATACAAACAAGGTTTACCTGATATCCGGTCATTTTATCGAACAAATAACATAACGGCAAAATCGAATATCACTATACGCAAGTTAGACACAAAAGTGAAACCATATGCTATCTCAATGTTCTTCACAATTGTATGGACAGCATTAAGGTTATTCACCATCCACGCGCAAATGAATTCAGGCAACCGTAGTAGTCTTAGCCAAACAAATTTCGTTGGTACATTATCAAACTGCTGAAGTGAAATACATGTTAACGGAAATACTCTGTGAATTCCACTATCCTCAGCATTCAGATTTACCATCTGATGTCTCAAGACATTGTTTGTGGTCTTTTAGGCCGCATGATCGCAGTACTGATTGAATTTTCAGTAGAACACAAGTCTACTTAAATATCGTTTGAAAGTTCGTTTGGATAATCCAAATTTATTATGAGTGAAGTTTCCTCGATGCTGTTCATTCTCTATTTCACTGTTAGAAGTGTTGTTTTTGTGTGCAAATTGATGAGACCAGATTGTTTAGCGTCTATTATAAATCAGTCTTGTTTCACCTGGTTAACTAAAGAAGTAATTTAAATTCATTTCTAGGTCAATTTAATTCGAAAATTTCTTGACTTTCTCCCTTTGGGAATGTGATGAGAAGAATCGTGATTGCCCAAAAATTTGAATTGCTTCTCATAGAACAGTTAGAAAGATTTTCGATTACCGGTTATCGGTCACCTTTCCATTAACTTTTGTGAACAAATTACGTTTCTTTATTCGGCTTTAAAGTTACCTTAGATATTTGAAACTTGTTCTCATTCGCACTTGAACTTCAATGCCTTGTTGATAGGTAATTGATTGTACAAACTCAGATTGAGCCGGATCCATCTTTTATTCAGGTGCGCAAGGCTCTTTCCTCACACGGTCACGGAAGTGGTGGTGGAAAGCCTGTTTTGACTGAAGCGGCTCTTCTTGCTGCAGTCAATTTGTGCAAAGCCTCTACCTATATAAATATCAACGATCGGAATAACATTCTGTTCATTCTAGTTCATTCTGTTTATGCAGATTTGCAGGTGAGATTATTTTTTACATACTTTCATCTGACTTGGGTTTTCAATAATTCTGTTTCGAACCGTAAAGTGATTTTCATCATACTCTCGTTTTCACATGTTTTATATTGACATGATATAAAATCTTGAAGCCACTAAGCTTTGGCTTTGGTGCGTGACGTAATGCGTGGACCATTGAAGACGTGTCTGACCTTGAGTGCCAAGATTAAATGATCTGAAAATAAAACCACAAACTTTATCAAGTATGACAGCGTAATATGAATTCGAGAAATACCACTTCAATCAAAGTCAACCCACTATTCATACTCCCTTCTGCAGAGAAGAACGAAGAAATTTAAGATGCGTCAGGTTTCAGCTGACGTCAAGGCAGCATTGAACGCGCAGCAAAGGCAGGCGCGTATTGATTTCGCCCGAGAATTCAAATCTCGACGTGCGTCATTTTGGCGGTCGGTTTATTTCGCCGACGAGTGCATGGTGTGCGATGAGCCTTGGAAAGCTCACAGAAAAGTCATTTGTGATGAGGATTTCCCAAGAGAACTTATTCCACCAAATGGAAGAGTTTCTTACCCGTCGTGTTCATGCAACTTCCCCCTAAGGGCTCGGATCTCAACGTGATTGAAAATATGTTTTCTGTTTTAAAGAGAGAGGTCAATGTACTACCTATACATTGGACATTGGAGGCAAAGTGGGACACGTAATGGGGCACACGAAAGAAAATGATTCAGTGCGGTGGAGATATTGTGAAGAAGACCGAGGTCAGAAAGAAGTCGGTATACATTGCCTTGCCGTTCAAGGGGGATACATCAGCAGAAGTAATACAAAGGAGACTATCAGATACTGTTAGTAATACCTTCTATGCAACAAAGCTCAATGTTTTGTTCACTTCCCAACAAGTTGTATGTTTACGATTAAAGGGCAAAATGCCGGATTCTGCCGTCTCATTTTGTGTGTACTCATTTACGTGTTCCTGTGGAACCACGTATATAGGCCGCACGGTCAGGCGTTTGTCCGAACGAATCCGGGACCACCACCCCGCATGGCTAAATACAGGGACGATTAAGTCACGCACTAGTGCAGTGGTTTCACACCTAGTTGAAACAAATCACTCAGTGAATGTGACCGAGGCATTCCGTCCCCTGTATCGGGTTCGTGGTCTATTATGAAGGCAGGTTCGCTGTCGTATGCTAGCCACAGCGGAAGCGGTAGGAATTCGGCTGCACCACCCACCCCCTCTATGTGCCCTAAAACAATTTGTGCAGGCGCTTAAGCTCTCCTGGCCAACCCCCTACATACCCCATATTCCGAGTGATTCCAACGATCGGATGACCTAACAATTATGTTCTATTTGAAATGTGCTCTGTGGTACTGTTTAGATAATTATGTCATCATTGAGAATTCCATATCCGGTCCCAAGATGAGCCTAGCCCCGGATAACCCATGAGTTTATTTTCCCCTTCCCGAAACATTTGTTTGAATACTGATTTATATATAAACAGCGTAATATTTATTGTGATTTATTTGGCATGACTACGAATCACTGCAAACGAGCTTGTTCGCCACTCGTTCTATTTGAAATGTGCTCTGTGGGACTGTTTAGACAATAAAAGCAGACCAATCGACTATTAGTGTACACAAATTTTGCATCTTAATTACTATTAACGTTAATTTGTTGTAAATAAAAACAGTTCCATTCTCTTTAGACAAAATGGGAGTATCCGCTATACTGAGAACCATTCCATCTGCTGAGTATAAACGAATCATAAAAATCA